TATGCACAGGGAGACAGCTCAGGGTGCAGGAGAGTATGGAGGGATGGACACTGGGAAGAGGTAACTATGGGGAGGAAGTGGGAGGGGAGCTGTTGCATTGAGGTAAACTGTGGTCAATGACATGTGACAATGTATATGTGAACTGCTGTATGGAAAGTGAATTTGCTCTCTAAATCTTCATCCAAATCAAAATAAAATAATAAAAACATAAAAAAAAAAAAAAGTCCGCCAATCTACCCAAGGCATTTAGACTTTATCGTGAGGGCACCATGACCTACTGAAGGGTTTTATCTGAGGAATGATGTAGTCAGATTTGAATTTTAAGAATCACTTTTGGTACAGGGTGGAAAATAGATTCAAGAGATTACTTTAAATGCTATTACAGTGAGAAGATATGGAATCCTGACTTTAATACATTGACAATGGTGTGGGAGAAAGTAGCCACAACAGAAATTAATGATTAGCAGATTGAGAAGGCAAAGTAAAGTATTACAATGAAATGTGCAAAGATCTGGAGTTAGAAAACCACAAGGGAAGGACACACTTGGCATTTCTGAAGCTGAAAAAACTGAAGAAAAAATTCAAGCCTTGAGTTTCAATATTGAATGATCCTATAGGCAAAGCATTGAACAGTACAGGAAGCATTGTAAGAAAATGGAAGGAACACACAGAATCACTATACCAAAAATATTGGTCAACTTTCAAACAGTTTAAGAGATAGCATATAATTGAGGACTGACAGTATTGAAGGAGGAAGTCCAAGCTGCACTGAAGGTATTGGGGAAAAACAAGCAGTCAGGAATTGACAAAATACCAATTGAGATGTTTCCACAAACAGATAAAGTGCTAGAAGTACTCACTGATCTGTGCCAAGAAATTTGGAAGACAGCTACCTGGCCATCTGACTGAAAGAGATCCATGCCCATTCCAAAGAGAGGTGATCCAAAAGAATACAGAAATTATTGAAGAATATTGTTGATATCATACATAAGTAAAATTTTGCTAAAGATCATTCAAAAATGTTCACAGCAGTATATTGACAGAGAATTTTCAGAAACTAAAGCTGGATTCAGTAGAGATTGTGATACAGGGATATAATTACTGATGTCAGATAGATCTTGGCTGAAAGCAGAGAATACCAGAAATATGTTTACTTGTGGGTTTTTTTTTTTTTTTTTTTTTGACTCTGCAAAGGCATTTAATTGTGTGGGTTATAAAACATTATGGATATGATTTCAAAGAATGGTAATCCCAGAACATTTAATTGTGCTCATAGGGACCCACACATAGACCAAGAGGCAGTTATTCTAGCAGAATAAGGAGATACTGCATGGTATAAAATCAGAAAAGGCATGTATTGGGGTTCTATCCTTTCACCACACTTGTTCAATCTGTATGTTGATACGGTAGTTAAGGTTGTGTGTCCAATTGCCCAGAGAGTGGTTTGCGTGCTCAGCAGCTGGCTGTAGTTATTCCCCATGATGAGATTGGAACCAACTCCATAGTGGAATCTGCTGTCTGCATCTAATTAGTTGCTCTTGGGGTATAGCCTGCTTTCAATATATAGAGAGAAGCTTGAGGAAGGTCTCTAGCTTTTTGGCACATCTGGATCCCATATTTGGCCGAGTCTTCATTTCAGTGGCCTGCCGGGTTGCCTGACATGTTTCCTGCCAATTTTGAGATTGTTCCTGGACTTGAACTAATGACCTGCGATGTTGCATGCTGATCCTTGGGATTGTGCCATTTAACCCGTCACTCTTTGGTTCATCAGCCTCAGCAACCAGCAACTGCATGAGTCAGAAAAAGCCTCCAGCTCTACTGGGCCTGTAACAGGAGACAGAGCTGAAGTACAAGGTCAAGGGACTTTGGTGCAGCCCCTATAGCTGGCACTATGAACCTCGGACCTCTAACATCCTAAACTATAAGAGAGTAAGTCCCTGTTTGTTAAGGCCACACGTTTACGACATTTCTGTTATAGCAGCACTAGAGAACTAGGACAACCGATCAGCAAAAAAGAAGACCCTCAATGAGATGGATTGACACAGTGACTGCAACAGTGGGCTCAACCATGGCAACAATTATGAGGATGGCACAGGACTGGGCAGTGTTTTGTTCAGTTGTAAATAGTGTCACTGTCAGTCAGAACTAACTCGATGACTTGATAACAACAACAGATGAGATGAGAGGTTTTTTCGTTTGTTCCTTTTTTGGGGGTGAGGTACATAGCAGGCACTTAATGAACCAAACTCAAATATTAAGTAAATTACTCTTTAACCATTTACTATTTCTTAAAAAAGGAATTGTGTACTTAGGAAAACAAGTTACACAATATTCTTTGCAGAATGTGTCCTTTTTAACTGAAGTTCAGCTTAGAGAGACATATGTCTTTGTAAAAATGGTGTGGCAGAGGCATCTGACCTCCTCTAACTTCACAAAGGGAAGTGGAGTATCACCGTCAACATCAACCCAAGGCATAGGTCAGACAAGCCTCCTCTCTCCAAACTTTCTATGAATTCTAAGAGCAGCCCTCCCACCTAGGTCACTCTGTACTTCTGTGCTAGTTTCGATAATTCATTACAATGGTCACACGGAACTCACAGACCATACTCATGATTATGGGTACAATAGGAAGGAATGGGTTACAATTCAGGATCAGAAAGAATTCAGGAACTCAGTTCTTTCCTCAGTGCAAGCTCCTCAGCTATGCCCTCAGGCAAGACTCTCTTTCAGCTCTTGGTCCCCTCTGGCTGGCCTCTTCCCTGCTCTGGCAAGTATTATAAAGCTGTTTAGCTTGTAAGTAACCAGGGGCACCCCCACTCTGCCAGGAAGTCTCTTGCCCAAAGTAACTCAGCTCTCTCTGTTTGGGTCCACAAGCCTACTGTAACCACTTATGTCCATTGGTTGGGAAACCACTGCGCTAACACTCAGTGGTTTCCTGGTTCTACAGTCACTATTTCTCTGCCACTACTTCTTGTCATCTTCCATCATCTCTAGTGTTACAGTTCTGTCTCTTGGGTCTAGGAGGTTGTGAGTTCAGGAACCTTGGGTCAACAGGACATGCTCCACTCCTAGCTATTCATCTTGGTGATGGTAAGGAAGATCTTTTCCATCTCTGAGATGGCTCATTTTAAGCTGAGTGGAATGGCAAAACTGACCAATTCCCTTTTTAAGCTCCCATACCCTTTATTTGCATGGCTCCACCCCTATAAGGGTACAATGCACATTATTTACATTATTACAAAGCTATCCAATCCCCTTGGTGGACCACAAACACCTCATTTGCACAGTCCTTTGCAATCATTTGGTGGGAGTTATAAGATCATGGCAAGAAACACCATATAAAAATGATCCACTGCACCACAGTCTTGTATCTTCATCTGTGCTTTATTAATGGTCTACTAACAATACATTTGGTGTAGTGCCTAAGGCATTTGGCTGCTAACCAAAAGGCTGGTGGTTCAAACCCACCAGATACTCCTCAGAAGGAAGATTGGTCAATCTACTTCTATAGTGATACTGCCTCGGATACTCAAGGAGGGGTCTCTATTAGTCGGGTCTGACTTGACGGCAGTGAATTTGGTTCGGTAAAAGGACATTAGTAGCCGAGAGCTTAGAAGGACAAGAACATGAAGTAAATGTATACTTTTATGTTTCAGTATGGTTGGTTTTTAGCAGTAAGATTCAGCTGTAGATTTTCCCATTGTCAATTCCTAAATTGAAGCTTTTTCCCTTTTCTAAAATATCAACATGCAAGTGTTCACAGCAATGTAATTTGTTCTCCTTCTTTGGCAGTTTTGATGTGGACAATGGCACATCTGCGGGACGGAGTCCCTTGGATCCCATGACCAGCCCAGGATCTGGGCTAATTCTCCAAGCAAACTTTGTCCACAGTCAACGTCGGGAATCTTTCCTGTATCGATCCGACAGTGATTATGACCTCTCTCCAAAGTCTATGTCCCGGAACTCCTCCATTGCCAGTGATATGTAAGTATGAGGATGGGCACAGAGAAGAGGGAAATTCTATAAGAAATCAAGTAAATTTGTCTAAATAGTTGATGATGTGGGAAGATGAATAATTGTTTGTCTACATCACTCTTTACTCATATAGAAGGAATAGTTAGTAAAATTATACAAATTCAAAATTAGTAGTAATTTCTCTTGAGTACCCTGTCACTATTAATAAGAAATATTAATTTTCCCAGAAATTCATTATCTGGGAAAAATGTGAATTACATTTTCTTGCTAACTTTTACATTTAAATCATTAGTTTATGTGTGACCTGATTTTTAGCTACCTAGATCTATAGATATTTTCTATACATTTCAAAAAGCTTTAAACCCAATTGGAAAAATCCCTGTGATATTAGAGTTTAGCGTAGTGCCTAAGGCATCTGACTGCTAACCAGAAGGCTAGTGGTTCAAACCCACCAGCCAATCCTCAGAAGGAAGACTGCTGGGCAATCAACTTCCATAGTGATACTGCCTTGGAAGGAGCTCTGGTAGCATAGTGGCTAAGATACTTGCCTGCTAAACAGACGGCTGGCGGTTCAAACCCACCACCCACTCCTCGGAAGGAAGGTTGGGCAATCCTACTTCCGTAGTGATACTGCCTCAGAAACCCAAGGAGGGGTCGCTATGAGTCGGGGCTGACTCGACGGCACATAACAACAACAACTGCCTTAGAAATCAAGGGAGGGGTTGCTATGAGTCAGAGTTAACTTGACAGCAGTGAGTTTGTTTTTTTTGGTTTGTTATAGTATTTTGAATATATCTCAATGGATATGCCTTACAGAGGCTACCACTGATTTGCCAGATGATTTAAGAAATCTTTAAAGAATTTTATGCAAAGTAAAGCATTTTGTGAATACAAATTGATAGAGGCAAACACAGAACACATTATACAGACTTGAATATCATTTAAGACATGACACAACTTGGAAACTATAGAAACTGACAAGCAGTTTCCAGATCATTTACCACTGTTAGCTCATTCTTTCAGTATATCTCATTTTGGCATTTGTTGTTGTTTTCATAACTTCCTATGTTGGGAGACATAGCTCAATCTCACTTAATACGCACTGCCATTGCAGTAACTGTGTATGAAACTAGCCTTGCACTTTCTTGCTCTGGATCTAGACAATTGTCCAGTATCTAGCAGAATCTTCCTATGACGTCATCTCAAAAATTCAGAAAAAAGATTGCAATTCATATTACAGAAATTATGTTCTATGGGACCTCCTATGGTCCAGTGTTATTTCGGGTATCTTAATCAGTCTTGAAGGGAGCATAGTATCTAAGGCATTTGACCGCTAACCAGAAGGTTGGTAGTTCAAATCCACCAGCCATTCAGTGGAAGGAAGACTGGGCAATCTACTTCAGTAAAGATTTACTGGCTCAGAAACCCAGTGGGGGTCACTGTGAGTCAGAATCAACTTGCTGACAGTGAGTTTGGTTTTAATCAATCATGAAGAGGTCTAAATAGAGCTCTAGAAATCAACTTCTGTTTTACTCATTTTTATAATATGTTTGTTGCCATCTTACTGTCAGTTATAAAATGATACCACTACTTATGCTCCATTCTCCCTGGGAATGAATGACTAAGTTGCAATCATTTAAATCAAAAACTGAATCATTTAAAGTCCTATTGTGTAGCTGCTCCTTTTTGAAGCACAGCAAGAGATGTAAGAGAAATATTAGATGAGATTTTTTTTATCTCAAATAACCAAAAATCTTACACAGTGACAGATCTTACATCAATTAGTTAGTAGAAAAGCTATTATTTAAACACAGCATCATGTCCATTAGAACTACAGGTGAAAGCATTTCATTGTCTGTCTTTAATTATGCACAAGTCTACATCATTTTCCAAAACAATACTCAATCTAGCATTTTGTGCTGTCTGCTTTTTCAGCAACGGAATTTTTTTCAATATGTTATTTCTCTGCCCAACCTCCCACCTCAGTCATCTACATCTGAACTGTTTCCTAACCATGCTGCAGTATTACCGTCATATCCTGAAATCTAACTTCCATTCACATTAACTTCCGAAAGGACATTAATCCAGGTTATGGTTGTAGGTCATATTTTCAGTTATTAGTGGAAACGCGAGGTGCAACTGTTCTCTGAGCTTTCATCATTGTTGTGCTCTCTATACTCCTCCTCACCAACCACTCCCTCACAAGCTCCTCTTAGAACATCTTAACACTTTCCCCAAAGCATAGACCCTGAATCTTTACCCTCTCTGCTTTGAAGAATCTTTTGTGTTGTATGTTCAGCTATCCCCTTTTATAAGTTATAAATAATTTATTGCTCAATATCTCTTGCCCTACAACACCTAAAATACTCACTGCCATCGAGTTAATTCTGACTTATAGTGACCCTTTAAGACTGAGTTGAACTGTCCCATAAGGTTTCCAAGACTGTAAATCTTAACAGAAGACTGCAGCATCTTTATCCCACAAGCAACTGGTGGGTTTGAACTCTGACCTTTTGGTACTTAATTACCCTTTCTTGGTCAACTGTCATCTCATGCTGGTTAATTAATGCCTTGGTTATCATTGATGCATTATATTAATATATAACTGATAACTCGTCTTAAGCCAAAACAACTTCCTCTTCCTAGTGTTTCTATTTTTATTTTATTTTTCATCCCAGCTTCTCAGGTTTGAAAATCCCAGACATTCATTTATTCATTCACTCATCATGAAAACACTTATTAAATGTATTCAAAGCTCCCGATCTGTGAGGTTTGAGATGTCTGGCATTTTAGATTATAATAAAAAATACGGTGAGAACCATCCTTGAGATATTTACAAAGCACTTCAGAAGCATAAAGAGGAGATGGCAAATTTGTCAGCTACTGAAAGGCTGCAGGAAATGGCAGGTTAATGGATCAACATTTGCAAATGTGCGGCATGGAAAATGATGGCACAATGAAGGAATGCCAATATGCATAGTGTGAATGAGGATATGTGGCAGGAGAGAAAGAAGATTCAAATATAGTTTATGGCACGTGAGAACCACAGAAGTTTTTAATTAGAGTTTGGCATGATCCTGTTCTTGAGCTTATTACATTTTCATGATTTTATTATTGAATAATTGCAGAGTGAAGTGATTAGAGAAAGATGGATTGTATGGAAGTTCACAGAAACAAAACAGACTAAATATGGTGAAAGCCTAGACTAAGGGATGATGCTGAGGTGATGAGGTTGGTGCAGATGCAAGAGGTTTACCAAACGTTGTGTATGTGTGTTGGTTGTGGGTAAGGGCTTAGAAATAGCCACTGTGGAAGGAGAATCCAAGAGAATGCTGAAAGTTTGACCCTGAAGAAGTAAATGAATTGTGATATTGACATGTGGAATCCAGGATGGAAAGTGTAGAGTATAATGGCTGATAATAAGTAATTAATTTGGCTTTTACAGAATGAGCATAGATAGAACTCCAGGGAAAACAAAATAGCAGTTCAAGGACAAGGACAGAGAGAAGAAGTAACAGTAGAAATTGAAGACTAAATACTTTCTATACTTACTAAGTCTTGAGTGACAAATGAATGAAGATTCTTGGTGAAATAACAGAATTTGGAGTCCCGTCATTACGGAATGAATTGAAGTAGAGATTCAGCAAATATAGAATGTAGAAAGTTGGTAAGTAGAAGGAAGAGAGAGGACTAAAGATGCTTATGGGAATAAGGTTCAAAGGAAAAGTTTTAAATGCAGGAAACATGAGCTGATGGAAGGTTCCATGGAAATAAGCTGAAAATTAAAGAAAAAAGGGTTAAAGATGGAGCTATAGTTGTCTACAAAAATAAAACCATTAACACAATTTAAGTGATTATCCTTACAAGTATTTTTGTTGTTAAGTGCCATCAAGTTAGATCCTACTCATAGCGATTCTATGTACAACAAAATGAAACACTGCCCAATTCTCTGCCAGCCTCACAGTCTTCACTATACCTGAGCCCACAGTTGATGCCACTGTGTCAATCCATCTTGTTGAGGGCCTTCTCCTTTTTTGCTGACCCTCCACTTTACCAAGCATGATCTCCTTCTCCAGGGAATGGTCACTTTTGACAACATGACCAAAGTAGGTGAGACAGTGTGACCATTAGCACTTCCAAGGAACATTCAGCCTGCACTTCTTCCAGGGCAAATATGTGTGTTCTTCTGACAGTCCATGATACTTTCAGTATTCTTCGCCAACACCACAGCTCAAAAGCATCAACTCTTCTTTGGTCTTCCTGATTCATTGTCCAGCTTTCACATGCATATGAGGCTATTGAAAATACCATGGCTTAGGTTAGGTTAGGTTCAAAGAAGGAGATCTGGTGGTATAGTGCCTAAGACATTTGACTGCTAACCAGAAGGCTAGCAGTTCAAACCCACCAGCTACTCCACAGAAGGAAGACTGGGCAATCTACTTCTGTAAACATTTACTGCCTCAGAAACCCCAAAGGGGGTCGCTATGAGTCTTCAAAGAGACATCTTGACTCTTCAGCACTTTAAAAGGGTCTTTTGCAGCAGATTTTCCCAGTGTAATATGTTATCTGGTTTCTTGACTGCTGCTTCCATTGGTGTTGATTGTGGAAACAAGTAATATAAAATCTTTGACAACTTCAGCCTTTTCTCCATTCATTATCATGCTACTTATTGGTCCATTTGTGAGGATTTTCATTTGCTTTATGTTGAGTTGTAGTCTATATTGCAGATTATAGTCTTTAATCTTCATCAGTAAGTGGTTCAAGTCATCTTCACTTTCAGCAAGCAAAGTTATTTCATCTGCATATTGCTTGTTGTTGTTGTTGTTAAGTGCTGTCGAGTCGTTTCCGACTCATAGCGACCCCATGCACAGCAGAAAGAAACACTGCCCTCTCCCGCGCCAGCCCCACAATCCCTGCTATACTTGAGCTCATCATTGCAGCCACTGTATCAATCCATCTGGTTGAAGGCCTCCCCCTCTTTCATCGACCCTCCACCCTACCAAGCATGA